GAAAAAGGGAAGATAAGGAGAAGGAAGCTGATAGAGAATCTAAAAATTGAAAAAATTACATTTAAATCTTGTAAAGCATACTTATTTATAAATAAATTTTGTGAAATTTAAAAAGCAAAGCCAAGTCTCCCCAAGCTAGATTGTAATTTAAAATTAAATTATAAAGATGATAATATTCCTATTAAATATACATTACATCAATTAAATAATTAATTTTCAACTATTTCATTATCAATTTACAAATATAATTTTAATTTTTTATAGACATAATTTTACATATTCAATAGTTAAACAATCATGTGTCACTAATAAAGTTTAACATTAATTGTTTATGATAAATGATAATTTTTATATATTTTATCCTTTTAATTTAAACTTTTAAATATTTATTTAAGACTAATTAAGTTTAACTGAATATTATTTAATTTTATTAGCCAATATTTAATTTTAAAATTTTAACTAACTAAATCTTAGATTTTAAAATATAAATAATATTTTTGATATTTTTACACAATCGTTATTTAATTTTATTTTATTTAGGTAGATTATTTGATCTAAATTAAAGGATATTGATAGAGACTATTTTAAATAAAAAGGATATGAGCATATTTAAAAATTAAATCAAAAATTAAATTTTTAAAAATTTTATTCATATTTATCTTGATATTTTAATGAATTTTTTTAATTAATGTTATTTAGAATAATTTTATTATTTTAATAAATTATTAAGTTTTATATACAAAGAGTTCAAGACACGGCAGAGTGAGTCACGACTTTTACGAGAAAAAAAAGCAACGAGTAGGCGGCGCATCACTGTGAATTGAGAGAAGGAGGAGTAGAGGCGATCGCGCTTCCCCCAGGCTTTTCTTCAATTTGTCATGGTGATGCTTCCACTCTCATTTTTCACTTATTTTTGTTCAGTTTTTAGTTTCATGAAGAATTAATTTTTTTAATGTGATCAGTCATAAATTATAATTTTAAAATTTAATCAAAGTTTTTAATATTTAGGAGATTTTATTTTAATTTACTCCTCTTCTTTCTACTTTTAAATTTTTTACTTTAATTATCATTGTTGATTATAGTAATTTTTTTGTATAACTTTTTTTGATTATAAATTTTATCTAAAGTTTTGCTTGTTATAGTCGATTGAAATAGCATCATAAGAGTAATTTAATTTAAATTGAGTGATTACTCATGCTTTATTTTTGGTGTGGGTAACTTAAAATAATTGTTAGTTTGTGAGTTAAGGAAAATTTTAATTAATCTATAACTTAATTTATTGTTTAATTCATGAATGATAATTAGAAAAATATATTATAAAAGTATAATAATAAAGTCAAAAAAATTAATTTACTTTGTGTACAAGAAAGATTAAGTTTAAATGATTGGGTTGTGATTAATTGTGTTGCTTATGTTTCATAATTTTCTTAGTTAAACTTATTTATTTATTTAATTTTAATTTATTATTTTAAATTAATTTTTTCATAAAAAAACTCCCCGTTATTTAACTTTTCATCATCCTAATTTAAATAGTTAATCTATTGACTTTAGGGAGACAAATTAAACTATACTGTAAAATTTAGTTTTTATTAATTTTGGTGGAATTCAACAATAATGTTAGTTTGCAACTATTTTATCAACAATTTACAATTATAGCTTCAATTTTTTTACAAGTATAACTTTATATATACAATATTGTGAAGTTATAGTTGTAAAAAATTGAAACTACGATTGTAAATTATTGATGAAGTAGTTGTAAATTGTTTGACTGATGCAATAGTAAACTATTGGATATTTTTAATAGGGACATTATTGTCTTTACATCTCAATTTCAAATTGCACTCAAGTCTTAAAAGATCTAATTGTGGTTTTTAAATTTTATAAGACTTATTTGTAAATAAGTCTGTTTCATGAGATCTATACAAAATTTTTTCGGCGGCAAATTGATTTAGCGTATAATGTTCCTATCAACCTGTACTTTGGTACTTCTATAGCCAGGTAGAAATCACAACCTAGCAGTGTTTTGGATCTTATTTTGCATGAGCATGACATGTTAGAACAGGATTCTTATCTTTTGAATAGTTCATACCCTTCTTGAGTAAGCATATTCAACTCCAAACTTTCTGTGTTACTGGCTTGAGGGACAATCTGCTAGTAGATGGTAAACCATGATGACAAATATTCAACAAGGGAAGGGATTTGCATAACTTTGGGAGGATGAGATTGGGAATTCACAGGATCATCCCCCTTATCGGTGCCACATCGAAAGCTTGAGCTGCTCAGTTGCTTGCATGGAAATTCTTCAAAAGAGACCTGCTTATCATGGAAGCTCTCATCTCAAGGAGCATAATTTGCAGTTGGATCAATTGTGCCCTTTTTGCAATCTGAGGCCTCAAAATCCATGAGACTTCTCTAAGGCTACATGGTTCACTTCTTCAAGTATCAATAGTTTTGCTCAGAAGTGCTCAGAGAGCAGTGTGAGGTCTGGGACTATTCATGTGAGAGTACAACCTTCAACTACAGCAGCCAGGTTCCGACAAGGTTGGACCATACTTAAATATGAGAGAATTCTGGTTCTGAGCTGCGTCATTGCTTGTGACATCATCCTCAACCCCCCTCGTTACTTCATGAATCTGCTGTGCTCTGGGAGAATGGATTTCTTCAAATATTTTCTCGTAGGATTGCCGCTAATATTAGGTGGAGACTTGGAAGAGCAAATCAGAAAGAATCCTCCTTCTTTCCTCACTTTACTATATGGCTTCCTTGTTTGTTTGTAGGTTAACCAGATAGTAAATATTATACTTGATAGAAATGTTACTAAACTGGTAGAAATCTAAATATTTCAATTTGTATTTTCTTTAGATTCTTGTCTGATGTTTTGCTTGGTAGTTGTTGATGAATCCTTTTGAAGTTTTAATGAAGGTATGAGAAGAAGAAATCTAGTAGATGTTCTCATGTCTTAGATGAGTCTTTGCATCTTTAGATTTTCTCATGTCTCGGACTAAACATGTATAATTTGTGAGTTATATTGTCCCTTTTTATTCAAAGAGGGGAAAGAAAGGGGAAAAGAAACAAACAGAAACAAGGATGATTTTGAGGAAAATCAACTTCATATTTTTTTTCTCTAGAATAAATGATGATATTGGAAATGAGAATAATTTAAACGGAGAATTGAATGCTTGACATTTATAAAAGTTCGTTATTTAAAATCAAGCAATGTCATTTATTTAAAAATTATTTTGTTTATTATCCCTTTTTATTCTAAATATAAATTATTTTTATTTAGTGCATTGTGCATACTTATCAAAAAAATAATTAAGAGTTTTCAAAACAAACTTTATAAATAAAACAAAAAAAATTATGTAAATTTCCTTGTATTGAAGGTAAAAATATGAGGAAAGGAATTCAACTAAGTTCATAATTGCCTTTGGATTTGGAGGTTATTTTCCTAGCATTCCCAACGTTTCTACGAGAAAAAACAAACTAAGGGCCTATTTGAAAACCTATTCTGGAAACAGTTTTTTATTCTTCAGAATAAAAAAATAAAAAAATTTATTTGATAACGTGTTTTCAAAAAGTATTTTGGAGAATAAAAAAATAAAATATTGTTCTGAAAAACAAAAAAATGAAGATAACTTTTAGGTATTTTGTGATTATTGTTCTAGAGAATAAAGAAGAATAAGAAAAACACATATTATTATTATTTTTTTATTCTTAAAATATGTTCTACAAAACACCAGTTCTCAGAACAAGAAAATAAAAATAGTTTCAAATAGTCTTAATATTCTCTATAGATTGCGAATTGTTTTCATAACAATGAAGACAGACAACTAAATAATAACTACATTCTGCCGCAGCATGGGAGAATTAAATCAAGAGGAGAAGGAAAACATGATGAAAACCAATAACACGTGACAATGCTTGTTTGGCGAGCATGTTAGCAACTTCATTAGCATCACGTGACATACGGTAGACTTTCACAACCCAATCACAAACACAGATGATAAATCTCAAAAATAATTTGTATATTTGGGTGAGATGAGGAGTCATCATGAGCTCACTGCTAAGTAGTTTCGCGGCTTCAAAGGAGTTAGACTCATTATTTCAAGAATATATTTTTGGTACCCAAAAGTTCAAGTGGTTTTAAGTCCTCACATGCAAATCTAAAGTTCAGCAAGTAAGGGGTTATCACCATTCATGTTAAACTTGTAATCATCTATTTTTTCACTTAGTAGGAGAGGTTTTAAGATCAAATTTTAGGAATACACGTTGTATTAAACCTTTAGAAATTCAATCATTGAAAAGATTTTGAAATGACTATATTACCAGTATATCCTTTTCTAAGTAAATTAAATTTGAGAGAGTCCACTCTCCACTCTACTAAAAAAAACTTGAAGAGTAAACTCTGGAAAAAGGAAAGACGAACAACAAACCATCACACCTTGCTATGTTTTGTGTGACATAGAGAAAATAACATCCTTAACTAATTTAAGCCAAGCACCACCTGACGGTGGGTTCGCGGTGCTACGCAGTATGAGTGAAATTATTTGTTTTTGGGCCTGCAAGAGTTAGAATAATTTTTTACATCTGTATAACAGTGTCTATTTTAAAAACACACATTTCTAAATCATATGGCTAGATTTTAATTTGTCTTTTGTATTAATTAATATTTAAACTCATCATTTTTAAATTTACTTTATTTATAAAATTTCCTAACAACAGGAATCTCCCAAATCTTCAGTGTTATAAAAAGGAGTAGACTAGCGAGGAAACCAAAGCCAAGTGGCCTTCTCGCTTTACAGCTCATCGTGGCTTCGCCTCCATGAATTTTAATTGTTTTTTCAGTTATTATATGTTTATTTATAATTTTTTTTTTGGGCCGTCCCCGCACCTTGAGAGCTAGTAAAAGAGCATCTCAAATATATATATATATATATATATTTTTTGGCCAGCAAAACTGATTCAATTAATTGATCACAGAAAACCAGGAAAAAAAAAAAAAACAAAAGGGATTGGAAAAAGCAACGTTGAACACAGGGTAATCAGTGAGTGCGTGTTTTTGGGCAGTCTGAAGTCAGTGCTTTTTTTGGCCAGGTTAGTCAGTGGTTGAATAATAGAACGAGGACCGAAAAGAGAAAATGGTGATATAGAAACTCGACCTCTCTTGATATCTCAAGATTGCCCTAGACGAGCATCCCATTTTGGGTGCGATCATCTCCAGGGGCGTTCACGGTACCATCTTGCCGTCATCCACAATTCCTCTTGCGTTTCAACTGTCTCCTCTTTAATTACCGGAACCAGGTCCAGAGGCTGCTAAAAACAGCATATTTTTCATTGCCTTTTGGTTTGGTAAATCCTTAAATTTCTCCTATTTTAAGTTTGTGGCTATTTGATTTTATATGCTTTTCCTGGTTAAGTTCGTTTTCACCCTGAAGAATGGATAAGTATCGTACTCAGTTCTGGGGGTTGAGATGGTTTTTTTTTTTTTTTGGTATGAGTTTGCCGTCTGGTGGTGGTGGTTGTTGTTAGTGAGAACGGTAGAGCTCTGGAGAAGTATTTGGTTGGAATATTGTAATTTGTTGCTTCTATGTTGCATTTATTGTATATTACCGTTTTATCTTATTTTTGTTTCGGAATCTATAGTCATGTGTCCCTTGGCTAATCATGCTCAGCACCCTAGTGCTTTTTCTCCTCAAAATGTAGAATTATGAAGCCCCTCTACACTGGTATTTCTTTCTTTTAAAATAAAAAAAAATTAGTTTGAACTTGTTGGATAAATTAAGCTCGGTTCATTCAGCCAACGAAATTCAGTTTACTGTGCCGAATTGGCCCATCTGGAATTTGAATCCAACGGATTTATTCTGTCCCATAATTCCACGCATTGAATTACGCATAGGTTCCAAGAGAGAGAATATTTTGATTCATGTTTCAACTTTCAACCAGGCATGTTTAAATCATATATCTGAAGGGGCACAAAATTCTTGTTCCCTGCTTGTTGCAAATTCGTGACTTATTACTACGTATGCTACTTATGTGCCTTGAGTTGCATATTAAATCATACCTGGCAATTGCATATACCGTCTTTCATTTGATTCCTAGATGCTTTCATAAATAAAAGACATAAAAAATTGCATTGCTTTTTCAACCTGAGGTCTCACTCAATCATTTGGAGTAATTGCTTTTCTTGTTACCAACTTAATGAGTAGCCGGCTGAGTCACTGACATTGATTAGACTCTCCTCTTATCTCACACATATGCTTGTGAGTCATGATTTATGATAACATGTTACAGTGTACGTATAGAGCAATTGAATAGGCCAACCTGTCCCATTTTGACTCATCATTGTATGGCTCTTATGCAGTTTGGGTATAGGTTATTTCAGTTTTTCTTCAGCCCAAATTTTCACTCAATAGTCTATATTAATCTATTAAGCCTTTAACTGATTACCAATTCTTTAAGTATGCCTCCAACACTCAGGATGTTTTGCTTTAATTGTTTAGAAGAAGACATTTGATAGATAAGATCTTGGATTGGATAGATTGTTTGGTATATATAGGGAGCAATAGGTTTGTTCAGCTAATTTGCTGGTTTTTTAGCCACTAAGTTCACCTGGTTTTGTCTGGAGAATGAAGCTTAAAGTCCTTTAGTTGTATGCTGTATCGGCTGGTTTGTGTTGTATTTGTTATAATGGAATGTTACGAGTTTTTAAAAGTTTCTTCTTTTGTATCTTGTTTGAGTTTCAGCAAATGGTTTTTTTAAGAGAAGTTTCTGTTGTCCATTTGCAAAGGATTGAAAGACTCTTCTGAGCCAATAAATCTGTATTTTTTTTTTAAATTTCTTTTATTGGAGGACTTCTGGTCTGCAGTTTTTGTATTGTTTTTTTCCCCTCTTTTTAACGATATTATTTTATACTCCTTCCATTTTCAAATATAAAAGAAACTATCATGTATCTCTTTGTTTTTATTTATATGCAAAACTACAGTTTTCAAGAAACATTTATCACATTTTTCCCAAATTGTCCCTTATAAAGTCAATGTTTATTTTCACTATACAAATTTGTTTCATCAATTACAGGGATAATTTAGTTCAAAATTTTAATTTCAGACATAATTATAACATTTAACCAACTTTTTTAAACTATGTGAATTGATTATTTTCTTTTATGTTTAGAAATGGAGGAAGTACAGTTTTAGAGGCGCACCCTAATGGGCCTTGGGCTCAAAACCCTAGTTTTGTATCTAAGTTTTTTAATTCTGTTTTCATTCCTGGATGTTATTTCCTTTTTCAGATTTGATACTGATTTTATTTTGAGTTATGATTCTGCCTAGAATCTCAGCTGAATCCTCTTGACATGATTGAGAGCTTGTATTTATAAACCTTACCCTAGTATACACTTTCCTTAGGATGGAAATCACTAGATCAAAAAAGGGCATTTCAGTCTCCCTAAGGAAGTGCACACTATACACTTGTTTTTCTAAAAGAAACAGGAATGTTGGGAGCTAGACCATCAGCAATGCCCATGGATCCTTCCGTTCATCTAGAACGGAAGGAGGATGAGGTTCCTGTAGGTGCTGAAAGATACAAAAGGCTTGTTGGATAACTTATCTATCTATCCCATGTCAGACCAGATATAAGCTATGCAGTGGGGTTTTTAGTCAATTCGCAGCACAACCCCAAGAGGAACACGTGGAGCAGTATATACAATTCTAAGGTATTTAAAAATGACACCTGGTAGAGGTCTCTTCTTTGCAAAGGGAAACTCTGGAGAATTGGTAGTATACACAGATGCAGACTATGGAAGATCTCTTGTTGATAGAAGATCAACCTTTGGCTACTTTACCTTTATGTGGGGAAATGTAGTGACATGGACAAGTAGGAAGCAAACTATGGTGTCTAGAAGTAGTGCAGAATCTGAGCTTAGAGGCTTGGCTCATGGAATATGTGAGGGAATGTGGTTAATTCGAGTGCTGAAAGAGTTGAAAATTGAAGCTAATTCACCTATCAAAGTGTTGTGTGATAATATTGCTGCTCTCCAAATGGTCTAGAACCCTACTCATCATGATTGGACTAAATATGTGGATATTGATAGGCGGCTTTTCACTGGGGAGAAAATGGAAACGAAGCTGATAGACTTGGCCTCCATATGCTCTAACTCTCAAGTTGCTGATGTTCTAACAAAACCGTTTGACAGAGGCAAGCTCAAACATTTCAGAAGCGAGCTGGGCAGGAAGGATATCTATTTTCAAGCTTGGGGGGGTTGTGAGATGCGCATCCTAGTGGGTCTTGGGCCCAGAAACCTAGTTTTTTGTTTGAGTTTTTTATTTCTGTTTTCATTCCATATCATTCTTTCCTTTTTCTGTTCAGATTGGATTCCAATTTTATTGAGTTGTGGTTCTTCCTAGAATCTTGGCTGAATCCTCTCAGCATGATTGAGAGCTCGTATTTGTAAACCCTACCCTAGTCTGTGAATAGAATGCAGTTTGTGGCATAACTGAATTTCTCATACAAAAGAAGAGGAGGAGGAGGAGGGGCATGTTCTTGGTTAATTTCAGAGTTTATACATAGGACCTAGTGAATACTAAGTCTAGAATACTATCAAGTCCTCACTTGCTACTTTCATGCCATTGTTTTGGGGGTAAGTTGCTTTTGTGCTTCCATCTCACTTCTCTCTGGTTGCGGTGACCAATACATGATTTATGTGTATCTTGTGGAATAGATAATTCAAGGTATCTATAATTATTTGATATTCATAGGCACCACTGCTCTGGTTCACCATCTTTTGAGTGTTCGTATTGCACCTGAATTTATAGTATGGTTGATTTCCTTGTAATGTTGTCGGTTAGAAGTGCATGCTAGAATACTTGTTATTTGCTTCTGGAAATTATATGGAAAAGGAATTGAGTTACAGATTTGGACTTTTCTTATTCATTTCCTTTCAGATCTACATTCAGATTTTCTGTTACTGATGCAGGTGTTATGGAGATATCCTTGTTAAAGGAGCTTGTTAATGGCATATCCTCATTTTTGCATCTATCTTTTTCTGGGAATGGGAACTCAGAATTTGTTTCAAAGTATTACCAAAAGGTGGAGGAGACATTTAAGTTGCTCAAGCCCATAGCTGATGCTTTGGCTATTTCTGAATTGGCTTCTGATGAAGTGCTTAATAAGGCATTTGAAGAAGTGGGTCGGGCTGTTGATGAGTTGAGGGAACTTTTTGGGAATTGGCACCCATTGTCTAGCAAAGTTTACTTTGTAAGTCTCATATAATAAATATTTAAAATCTGAAAGCAGATTCCGTATTATTGATTGCCAAGTCATAGTGAAATAAACTGAGCTTCCATCATGGGGTGGTTGTCTTCTTTCTGTTGCAGTGAAATCCTTTGCCTGTTGCAGTTGTTAACCCTATAGACAATTTTAGGGTAAATGTCTTTCAATGTATTGCTCTGTCAGTTTGTGACTTGTGTCGAGATCACACTATGCTGTCTTGCATAATAGTTACTTGGTTATACTGTCACAAATTAGTCTACATTGTCTCCTCGTTTCGCTCTGTGATTGGATTATCATGCAAATATATTGCTTGAGTTCTATGGCCATTAGCTGAAGGATGAGAATAAGTAGAAGTTATTGATGTTGCCTGTTTATCTTGCATGTGATCATATATGCCTGTCTGTTAAGTACTTATTTGTATTCTCGCTGCTCCTCTTTCCTGATTACTAGGTTATGCAAGTTGAATCCTTGCTATCTAGGATTCAGACTTCAGCACTCGATGTTTTCCCGCAGCTGAAGACTTCTCGTCTAAGTCTTCCGGATGAACTGAATACTGTACAAGTTGAGGTAATATATGCTATTGATAATTTTTAAAAATAAAATCTTGCCTTTCAGTGTAGTTTACATGTTCTTTATTTGGTTGAGTTCATGTTCTTTATTTGGTTGCAACTCAATTACAATATCTAGTATCAACATAAAACTGCAGCATTGTATTGAGAAGCTCAAGCTTTTGAGACGTGAGGAGGAAATCTTGTTAGTCATTAAAGAAGCTATTAGTGAACAAGTGGAAGGTGCAGGACCTAGTTCAGAGGTCCTAGTAAACATTGCTGAGAGCCTGAGCCTGAGGTCTAACCAAGAGATTCTGATTGAGGCTGTAGCCCTTGAAAAGTTGAAGGAGATTGCCGAGCAAGCTGAAAAAACTGCTGAAGCTGAGTACATTGATCAAATGATTACTCTTGTAACTCGTATGCATGAGCGTCTTGTTGCTCTTAAGCAAGCCCAGAGCAGTAGCCCAGTTGCAGTACCTCCTGATTTTTGCTGTCCTCTTTCTTTGGAGTTAATGATGGATCCAGTAATTGTGGCTTCGGGGCAAACCTATGAGCGGGCTTTCATTAAGAACTGGATTGATTTGGGACTTACTGTCTGTCCAAAGACACGTCAGACCTTGGCTCACACCAACTTAATACCCAACTACACTGTAAAGGCATTAATTGCAAACTGGTGTGAATCAAACAATGTGAAACCAGCTGATCCCATAGTGTCCACAAACTTAAATCAAGCATCTTTTCTTCATGGGTACATGGAATCTGGTGCAACCAGGGAATCACCTGTCTTTGCTCATTCTAGGACCAACCATCCATCCTCCCCAGAGACTGCTCGCTCCCATTCTTTCAGTTCACCAAGTAAGAGCTTAATTTCTGGAGGAATCCACAGAGAGGGAACATCAGCATTTCATCCTCGTTCAACTTCAGAAGGTTCCTTGAGTGGTATGGCTAATGGACAGTGTTTGGATTTTGCCAGAATTTCACCTGCAGGCTCTGATGACAGGTCTGCTTGCTCAGATGAAAGGAGTGATGATTCAGCTGTCCAACCGTCAGTGTCTCAACCTATTACTGAATCTTCCATTGCCTTTAGCTCTGAACAATCCCAAGCCCACGTTAGAGCAGCTTCTGATTCCAGTGCACTTTCCAGTGTTCAAGGAACACAAGGTGATGGTAACAGTACTACTCAGCAGTCAACCACTCCTGGCAACAGTACAGATTCTTCTGCGGTGACAACTTCTGGGCTAGATGCTAATGGTACTGCAGCTATTTGTGCTCCCCAGAGAGAACCTGAGATCTTACCTCGTGTGGACACAAGGCCTCGAAACCAGAGCATATGGCAGCGGCCATCAGAAAGATTTGTTCCTAGGGTGGTGCCCTCTGCTGGCGAAACAAGAGCTGATCTTTCTGGCATTGAAGCCCAGGTGAAGAGTTTGATTGAGGACTTGAAGAGTGCTTCTCTTGATACTCAAAGGGAGGCAACATCAAGGCTCCGCCTTCTTGCTAAGCATAATATGGATAATCGACTTGTGATTGCAAATTGTGGAGCCATTGACTTGTTAGTTGACTTGCTTAAATCAACTGATACAACAATCCAGGAAAATTCTGTTACAGCACTTCTGAACCTATCAATCAATGATAACAATAAAACTGCAATTGCTGGTGCCGGTGCTATTGATCCTCTAATCCATGTACTTGAGACAGGGAGCCCCGAAGCCAAGGAGAATTCTGCTGCTACTCTGTTCAGCTTATCAGTGATTGAAGAAAACAAGATTAGGATAGGGAGGTCTGGGGCAATTGGGCCACTTGTTGATTTATTAGGAAACGGAACTCCGAGAGGGAAGAAAGATGCTGCCACGGCTTTGTTTAATTTGTCAATATACCATGAAAACAAGGGCCGCATTGTGCAAGCTGGAGCTGTGAAGCACCTTGTGGAGTTAATGGATCCAGCGGCTGGAATGGTTGATAAGGCAGTGGCTGTTTTAGCAAACCTCGCCACAATTCAAGAAGGAAGAACTGCCATTGGCCAGGAAGGTGGGATCCCTGTTTTAGTCGAGGTTGTTGAGTTGGGTTCTGCGAGAGGAAAGGAGAACGCAGCAGCAGCTCTGCTACATCTTTGCTCAAACAATCCTCGATATTTGAGCACAGTGCTGCAAGAAGGAGCGGTCCCACCATTGGTGGCTTTGTCGCAGTCAGGCACCCCAAGGGCTAAAGAAAAGGTATGGTTCTTTCAATGTGTTCTCATATTCCAAGTGCCTTTCAACTTATAAATAGTGACGACTCTTTTGTGTTCTGGTCTATGTTTAGGCCCAGGCTCTGCTCAACCAAATTAGAAATCAAAGACACAATGCTGGGAGAGGCTGATTATGAGTTCATGGCCTTTTTTTATCTTGAGAAAAGTTTTGAATTACGTCTTACAGAACATCTCAAAATTAAACTCTGATGGCGCGACAAATAATGCTTGTAAAGGTGTTTTGGATTTTTTTTTTTTTTAACTTGACATGTAGAGGTGACAAATATTTATGGAGGATTGATTGAGTCCTCTTGTAAACCCTGTGATGATAAGAAAAATATATACCTGTAAATTAACTTCTGTTTCAAGAAAAAGAACTGTCATATAATATTGCTGAGCTTGAGTCGATGACGGACATATGTTGAAGCTTTCTGCTTATGGAAGCAATGATATATATTGATTGGCATATTGGATTTGAGGCTGGTGTTATTCTTTGTCAAGTCAGTTCTGCTGTGAGGTTATCAAATATCCAGAGAACTAGACTAGTTTGTTTATTTTTATATAATTATATTTTTAAGTTATTCAGTACATTTTTAGTGTATTTCTTTCTTTCATTTTGATAAAATCATGTGATGCCAAAGTGGAGAAACTTGTACTACATTTGTTATGATTATGAAAAAAATTTGTGCAGTGATCATATTTTATCTGAACATTTCGACAGAAAAATGACAAGCCTAATTTTCTTTTTCCATATCCAAATTGATGCTTGCACGTAATGCTTGAGTTGCATGATTCTATTACAGGAGGAGATCCAGTTTAAGAAATGTGTAGCTGATGCGTAGTACAGTAAGTTACTACGTAGCAACTCTTTCTTGGTTCCTATTTTTATTGTATTCTAAGCAAGTACTCTATTTCTGAAGTTTGTTTATAATGCCATCATTAAAACCCAATAATATAAATTCCTGAAAAGCATATATTAAAATTCGTTCAATTCATTAATTTTATTTTTTAAAAAAATTTGATAATGAATTTTCTCAAATCTAGTACTAAATTGCAATGAATTAAAATTTGGAAAAGATTACGTAGGGGTGTTACTTATAATTGCTTTGATAATACTCAAATTTAATTTGATAATAATAAATATGAGGTAATTGTGGAAAAAAGTATCAATCTTTGAAAATAAGATGTTTCAATTCAAATATAACAAAACATTTTTTTTCCTGGGAGGAATCGGAATTAAAAGACAATTGTTAAGTCAATCCGCATGCAGAATTTCTTTTCTTTTCCTTTTAAAAAAGGCCCAAAGCATGTAGAGTTTTTGTTATTCTGGGCTCTGGTTGTTATTGGACTAATAGACATATTTGTATATGAATGTACTGAAATGAAGAACATGAAACTGAAACATTGCCATACACAAGTACTCTAGCCTTACGGTAAAATACAATTCCAAGAAAAAAAAAAAAAAAACAAAACACAAGAATTCACAACTTGGTAAGAAATCACTCCAACTCACACAAACACAAGTCATGTGGGCGCGACAAAATAATGATAATGATAAGAAAAAATCCCACGTATTAATTATTTTATCTAAATCCTAATTCACCCTCCTACAGTTCCTCCTGATCTGTCCGTTTGAGCCAGTCAAGGGTTTGATATCTCCCATCTTGATCATGGCAGCGACGAAGTGAGCATGGAAGGCCCTGGCATCCTTACTGTAGGCTCGAACCAGTGAATCGGTGGCGCCGCCATTGAAGAGGACCTGATCAGAGTGAAGCAGACCCCTCTTGGCGATGAGGTTCTTGAAGTATTGGTTGTCGAAGTAGTTGGGAGTGACGAAGTCGAGGTTTGCAACGTTGTTATCTCCTGATCCGGTTTTTGCAGGACATGTCCTCCTCCTCGCGTTTGCGAATGATTTGTCGATGTCGGTCTCGTTGTGGATCCGACCCCTGAAACTTGAACACCTTGCCTTCCCTATTGTGTGCGCTCCTTTATTATGGATCAAGCATTGTCACTTATTTGGTAAATAACAGTAAATACTTCATTACAAAGTTACTGATAAATATTGCTCAATATGAATAAAAATATCAAAGCTTCTCTTCTTCATCTGTTATGGGAGTGAGGGAGTGACGTGAATTTTAGCTTAAACGAGGAAACGTCAATGAATATGTGACATTTAGGTCGCTCTTACTAGCGCACCTCAATATACAGACATACACATGATATTATATATACAAATGAATCCGAAAATGCTTTGAAAAATATTAAAAATGATTAGAGTTAAAAAGATTGATTCCAGAGAAAGGGAATAAATGGAGAAGTAGGAATACCGGATAAGGCAACCATGTCCCTGGCAGAGAGGCCGTGAGATTTAAAGTTGGAGATGAGAGTGGTGAGTGAAGAAAAAGGAGATGGGATGGCCCCACTGTTTGCGGCAGCCAAGCTAGCCGTTTTTGAATCTCTTCTTCCCAGCTTCACTTTCCACGCAGGTCCTCCGAGCTTCAATATGATTAAATAAATCGCAGCATTAGTTAATTAATTAATCAGAGAAAGTGAAAACGACGTCCATATGTAAAGTGAACTCACGAGAACAACAGAGTCACGAGCAGCAATGGCTACAATATCAGCACAGGAGACGATGCCGGGGCATTCTTTCTCCACCTTCGACTTTATAGCATCGATCACTTCAAACCCCCTCAGTGAGTTCTTGTTTGGGAGAGCATTCTTCTCTCCTTTGAACGAACCTGTGTCATCCAGCAGTACTGAGGCATCGCACCCCTGTTTCATGTCAATTAATTAATTAATTAAAATTTTTTCTCAACTTCTTCATCATAGCATCTAGCATGAATTCCACAGGCATAAACAGGTGTTAAAATTGCGATAAGCCAAAAGTGATCTTGTCTTTTTCTCTACTGTGCCATGTGAGGATGGATGTACCCTACGCTGCAATAATTTGAAAATTTCAAACCATGATTCCTAAACTGGCCCAATGTTACAGTATTAATATTGTCGCATCTCATCATGTTGCTGTCAAGCATAAAACTAAAAGCTAATTGATATTCCTCTAGCAACTACATGTAGCTAGATGCTCATGGCTAAACTTAGGAACTTCATTGAGACTCTGTAAACGAGAGCTGCAGATATTGTCACGATATAAATTTCTGTTGATATCAACTGATTGATTTATGACTAGTACTTTTGATCTAGATATGCAGATATGGCAGTGGGATTTTTTTATCTAAAAAAGCGGGAAATTAAAGGTCAAGAAAATGTTAAAAACATTGGTTTAAAAGGTAGGAAAGTAAAAAAAGAGAATAGTGAAGATATAGAGTGCATTAAAGTGGTTACATTGACGAAGCAGTCATGGAAGAAGAGGCGAAGGAGAGAAGCTCCCATGCGATGTTCTTTGGAGATGGCAGAATGAACCACAGAATTCACACTTTTGAAAACCTTTGGACAGCTCTTTGAATAGAAGTTTGGAGAGAGCTGGGCAGAGTAGCTTCCGGTCACCATCATCATCAACAAGAAAGCCAACTCAACAATGGCTGAACAAGATGAAGACCTTGAAGAAGCACCCATTTTTTGTTCTGATTGTTATACAATCACGCGATGCTCTGGTGATGTTCTGTGAAAATTTGAAGGTAGTGATCGAACAATTTATAGAGCCCAATGGAGGAGTGTGAAAGTGGGGCCCTTTGGCTTCCCTTTCCTCTTCGTTTCTCTCTCCTACATTACTCGATCGTCTTGCTTTTTCTTTCACCTACTCGCCATGAAACTGCATGGAACGAACAGTTTTTTACGTCTCCATGAAAGGACTTGGTGTCTGGGGATAAGGATCAAAGTTAACAAAATTTTTTTTAAAAAAAATTCGATTGTTGACAATTAAGGTGCGTTTAGATATACTTGTTAAAATTAAAATGCTTTTTGCCATTTATTAACAAGAATATATCAACCACTATGAATGTAAGAGGACAAAATTCATGCGCATGAATAATGTGAGGTTTAATTTAATTAACAGGGATCGAATCAAGACTGTTTTTAACAAGTGTGGATTAATATCTCATGGAATTAGTTCAAAATAGTAAACATAATTAATGAAATGGTCGTATAGGTTAGGTGACAGAATAATTACTATCTTACTAATTGAGAATAACTTCTTAGCAGGAACACGCATTGATAATAAGGTGAACTGAAATTTCTTCAAAGAGTGGGTATCCAAGCTCAGATTTTCGGAAATTGTAGGGTCGGCTTTTGCTGGAATTGAGCAATTGAAATGAATAATACGCCGACGTTGACTATTCAAAAGTTATGCAGGTTACAGAGAGACCACGGGAATCAATGCTCCATGCATGTATAATTCCAACAATCACTAGTTATCAAACAGTTCAAAAAAAAGAGAGAGGGAGAGAGAGATGGACAACTTTAAAAAAGAATTTGTCCCAAAAAAAATATTTGAAAAAGACTTTTCAAATGGCTACTGGGTAGCCAAAGCTACCTCTCTCCATTATTGAAGAAAAAGAAAGTTGGCATGTCAATAAATTGTTTGAAGAGTTGTTTGTATAATTAAAATTTAAGAAATAATACTTGTTTAATTTGTTTATGGAAACATAGGCTGGCAATTCCAAAAGCTAAAGTGCATGCAGAACCATATATATATGGTATGTCTACTTGGCGTTTATGTGTTTTAACTTGGCCTGTTTGGCTTCTCTTCAACCGTTTATTCCAAGATGTTAATAATCATTTTGTCTTTTTATTAGAGCGAATATGCTGCTTTTCCTCTTTGGTCGTCGGTGTGCTAAATGATAAGTATATTATGTGTCGACTCATGCAGCCATGTGGGAGAAAATAACGCACAGCCACAAACTCGAAAGAAGAGCTGTTGATTTCAAACCTTAATAACAATAATTCCTGGTTTCGATGGACGGCAGCGCAGATTTGATTAGTTAACTGTAGACTAGCGATAGGCATACCATTATTAAAGGATTGTATTATAATTTTATAAATTTCTCACACGATTTTTTGTTGTTGTAAAAGTTAAATAATTTGTTATTTTGATGGATTATATAATTAGAGGTGTGAAATAGCTAGCTAGCTAGCTAGCTGTTAATCAACGTACGAGACGGTGTTGTCACGATTTGTGCGATAACTATTTATTGATAGTGATCGGTGTTTCGGAGACTACGTTACTTGGGTATTGGATTCTTTTTCTTTCACCTTCGAAATTATTGAGGCAAGAATGCTCCCATCATACTATCTAAGTCAGCAGAGAGAAAAAGTCGTAAATTTCTGTAGAATTAAGTTAAGGTGATAATCATTAATAGACTAAATAATATTATTTAAATATATGAATTAGTTAGAAACGCCGTCACTATGTCGAATATTAATATTAATCATTATTAATATTCCTTCACACATGTGGGCATCCATTCACAACATTCTTCGTATTGAAAAAAATTCAAACATACATCCCCTTGATTTGTTCACTACGTTATCTCTCTCTCTCAGCCACACGCAGCTGAAAATAATATGTGGAAGATTGAATAATTAATTAATAATTAGAATTAATTGGCATATAGAGAAACATGTAATTGCTTGTCATCAAGTCATGATGAACACTCTACTAGTGGATTTTGCACGAAACATTGTTCTGAAGCAGTAATAAACGACGTCAACAATAGACAATAAGTCACCCCAGTTAATCGTACTGGAATCTATATTTTGGCATTTGCATGAGGCAGCTCACTACACTAATAGCATTTCTTGACAAGCTGTGCGTGTTGCAAAGTTTTCTACGTTATTAATATTTAACATTGTTCTTTGAGCCGATGTTCTGTAAGCAGTGACGAACCCAGACAAGCGTGTATATATATGGTGGCAAAATTTCAAACTATCTAGAATTTGGGGGGCTGAAATGAAATTTCACATTTTTCACAGATGAAAATAAAAAAATTACAAAGCAATGGTGTAATGGGAAAAGCACTCTGTAAGTGTTCTTTAAATTTAAAAGTATATCTTGATTCTAATAAATTTTTAATTAGAGATGAGAAATGGGTGGCCCAGCTTTTATAGATTCAGACCTTTGAGTTGGATTTTTTAAAAAGAAATTATTTTTTAACGCTCAGTCTTTGTTTTAAGAATTTAGGCTCGTGAGTTCATTTTATTTTTAAAATATAAAAAAAATAAAAAAAACAAATACTAATCTAAATATAGAAGTTTAATCAATTTTTAAAATGAAGACAACAATTTTCAATTTAAATCAACCTTATCAAACCTAATAACTACAAAAACTTATATATCATAAACTATAGCATTAATCAAAAGAAAGAAATAAACTTACAGGGTAATCATGTTTAAAAATTACTAAAAAACCTGTTGAACATCGTGTTAAAACTAAATGGCAAAAAAAAAACAATATTAATTATCTTGACATTACAATACTTGAATTAACATCAATCTTGTGAGGAAGAAGGTTAGAAGAGCCTCTCAAGCCCAAGCTTGATCTTTTTTCCCCCCCAAAATCTACCAAAGTTGAACACTTGGAGCTCGATTTTTTAAAAAATTTTAAATTTTTAGGCTTTAACTCTTATCTAAACATGACTTTTAAGCCTGGCTTTTACAGTATCCAATTCACTAGATAAATATTTTATTACCAGAATATAGGTATTAACGTTGTTCTTTGCCTCCGATCTAATAATTTAGAGGCTCTTTGTTTATATATACAAGTTTTTCAGCGTAACAGATTTTTAAAAATGACCAGAACTTAAAGTAAAAAACAAAATTTTAATTATTTCTAAAATAAAAAAATACGATAAATAAGAGAGAATATTCATAAAAATATGAAGATGTATATAGAGATGCCATAATAAAATTTAATAATTATTAAATAATTGGAAAATATGCCAATCAATGCCAAACAGACGTGAAGTTTTGACTTGAATAAATGATATGCGAACCGTTATAAGATCTAAATACACGTATCAGATGCTGGTTCGCAATTTCTCTCATCTTCTTATCCAAGAATTATTATTTTTCCGGGGCAATTATCCATGAATTATTAATTGATTAGTCATCGATCGGTTAACTGCATTTGGTCATGTGGACTGTTTGGCGTCATAATTATAAATCATTTTATTAAGGCGAGCTAGGGTACAAGCTGTTTTGTTGATCAGATGCGGATTATTTTATAAAAAATACTTTTCTTTTAATATTAATATATACTCTCTCAAATTAAAAATATAAAACATTTTTTACGGAGTTAAATGTTTAAAAATATAAAATATTTTTAATTTTTTGAGATATAATTATTGTTTTTTTTTAAAAGCACCCTTATGTATAATGACTTTATATTTCTTTTAAGGTATTTAATAAGTATAAATATAAAAAAATAGAATTAGCTGAAAAATAGTTAATTACTTTATTAGGAGGTAAGATTCAATTAAAAATATCTTATATTTTTAAATAAAGAGAGTATAGTTTTTATCTCCAAGCTGGTGGATGATTTGCCTAAAATAAGTAATGTTGTGTAATTTAGTATCATATTTAACTACTAATAATTTATTTTTGGTACCACTTAATCGTTAGGCTCGGGAAGTATCTCAAAAGAGGAGTAAACACATATATATACGAGCATGAGATCCTTTTTTAATCTAAAATTTTAAGGGGTTAAATTTATATGTCCTTTTCAACTGTATACATATTCTCTAATCTAATTCCATCCCACGCGAAGCTTTTTTCCCTATACTATGTCAGGCCAACTCACTCTTGACATTTCAACAATTACTTCCTGACTAGTATTATTTTACAACTATTTAGTTACGCAAAACTTAAAATATGAATTCAATTTATGCTTTAAATAATTAATCCACAGCCTCAATAATATACTCCCTCCATTTTTATATAAAAAATATTTTTTAAAAATTTATTGTGTTCCTAGATATAAAAAGTGCCATAATATTTTGAAATAATTTAACAATTTTATCTGTGTCTTGAAAAAAAATTAATTGTGTAATTTACCCACCATCATCATTATATTAATTATAACATCATTAAAGGTAAGATTAAAAAATTATTGTATTTTATATAATTTCAATTAAATAATAATTTTTTATATGTAGAATTCAATTAGAAACACATTATATATGGGTACAAAAGGAGTAACTGATAAGATCAAGCTTATATTTTAAAATTGAAACAGGTTTTTTGCCGGAATTCAAAATTATTAAATTCAGATTAAGCTTACAATTTAAAATTGAAACAGTTGACAGAGTTTTCAACAATAGTCCCATATTCATGTGGAAATATATATTAACGATTAATATTAATTATCAATATCATTCATCATCTTATTACCTGTGAAGTTGAAATGTGAGATACTCTCTCCGAACTATAATAAAAGACATCTTTTAAAATTTTTACTTGATTTAAAATATAAAATATTAAATAATTTTTATATTTATTTTTTTAATTATATCTTTACTTCACTTATTATTATTTTTTTAAAGAAATCATGAATTGAAATTCTAAATTATTATTATTAATATTTTTATATAGGATATTTGATGAGGGTGTAAATAAAAAGATGTAAATAAATTAAAAATTTTAAAATTTTAATTAATATTATTTATAGATTATAAATTAA